TCACATTAAAATACAAGTCTCGTGCAACTTTACCAATAGAATTGAGCACACAACTGTATAGCATACAAACCTCAAAATCTGAGGACCGGGGGTTTCCAATAATCACTGCAGTAGATTTGTCATCCTTTCTGTTCAACATCTCAAAATTCTCTCGTTTAGAACATAAAATCCATGTTACTACTTCTGTAAACCCATTCATTGCAATCTGAAAGGAAGGTTGAGAAGGGGATTATCAGAAATACATTGATGAGAAGAAACATACATGAAGAGAGAAGCACCAGGAAGCTGAAAATGTAAACAAATTAATATGAAAAGAGATACATTTACAGTCATAGGCATAAAGAGACTTGTTTGTGAAAAAGTACAGGTACCTCGTGTCTGATAAGATCAGTAAGCTGGTTTAAAGGAAGTGGCTTCAAAGAAGAAGGCTTTCTTTTTGGAATATTGTTGTACCCATATGCAATTGCAACATCCTTAAAAGAGATGGGAGTTCCTCATCAATAAAAACACATGACTAACAATGAAAATGTGTGTGGTAAGAGGTGTCTACTAAAAACCATATCCATAACTATCAGTACCTCCATAACATCACATGCATGAAGAACATCACTTCTGGTTGGAGGTACTAACACATTGATACTGCAATTTTCACCTGATCCAGATTGCTTAGCCTGCAACTGCATTTGATTTAACAGGCTAGTTACCTGAAACGTAAAAATGAAAAGACATTAGTCATTATACTAAACAGTAACACTAACAATAAAGGGCTAAATAATTTAGAGTCATAAATTTGAAAGCAATGAAGCACATGGTGATGTCACGAAAACTGAAGAAATAAACAACAAACACAATCATTTCTGTGCAATGGAATGTCCTTAAATGCAGAGGGAAAGGTGTTGCATTTACACTTCTGTAGTTGAAATTATTGAAGCGTACTTTGCTATTTAATTGCAAATCAAGTCAAATAATAACTGATCATACACAACCAAACATAGTCACTTCACTCCGATGGCATGCCCTTAAAAAGCAAGGGACAAAGGTTACACATTTATGCTCCCTTTGTTGAAATAAAAAAAGGTTACTTCTTTGCCATTTAGTTTCAAATCAAGTCAAATAATAACTTATCAAATCAGTCACAATTATCTTAACTAAACAGAAAAATCAGAAACCATGACAGTTAACATGGTCTAGACAACCTTTGCCATAAAATTTAATATAAACCATGATCATAATCTAATAACATAACAAACTTTTTGTAGGACCATGTTAACCCAATAAAATATGTGATAACAATCCAAATTAAGGTTTTTGCTCACATCAGGTTAAAATTAACTTAAATACCATAAAAAAATTTGTTAAATTTACATAAGATACAACCTTTCTCCAAAAACAAGCTTTCACATACTGATCAAAATATTTTCTTTCTAGAGGAAAATAGGAACCATAAACAGAGCTAAAGTCAAAATTCATAATAAATACAATATATACGGAGATCAAACAAAGCAGATCACACGCACTTGCGGCCTTAGCCGCGATGGCAGTGCACCTACGCCCTTGGCTTCTATGTCAAGGGTTCAAAGCTGCCAATGCAGCAATATTATAACTATTTCCCCTTCCCCCAATTTCCCACTGGTCCAAAAAAAAAAAACAAAGCAGATCACACAATCAGAACTAGGACTGATTTGTTCCAGATATGATGTTAAGAAAAACCATAGAAATAACAGAGGAAATAAATACCTCTTGTGCATCCAAGGAGACTCCAATTGAATCAGTGATATAGGATAAAGGGACCTCCATATTGTACACAGATAAATCAGGATAAACATATGACTTCCCATCACAGTATTTCACTTCAACTGGTTGCACTTCAAACTTTCTTTCACAATATGCTGAAAAAGTTGTTACCTATGAGAAGAAAGAAAGCTGTATTTTACTATCAAATAAAGATAGAGATAACAAAATTACAAATAAATATAATCACAAATAAAAAATTCTTTACCATTGTATTCAAAACAATTTTGGCCTTTGTCAAATCAGTAGCTGTACATTCAATAAAGACATTTTTTGTCTTCAAGGTGATTGCTGAATGTGCACCATTAATAATTGGTGGTAAAGACAAAACGATTCTGCAGAAGGGAACTCAAATTATTTTACAATAAGTGCTATTCAAGGCATTAAAGGGAAATAAACAGGAGACAAAATAGAACATCTTAAAAACTAAACCATAAAATAAAATACCACACCCAAGACCAAATCCCTTAACTTACTTCTTAGCACTGAAAATAACCAAATCCCTTTTCTTACTATTTGGTACTGAAAATATCAAAGTATATATAAATAAATATCGAAAAAATATCAACATGAGCTCAATGTCTTTAAATGCAACATAATTTTATTCTACTGATAAATATTGTCAAAGAGTGTGAGTGGATCAACAGAAAAATACATGTCAAAATCCTCATAAATCATAATAACTTTAGCATTAACAAGAAACTCTGTACCTATTACGATCATATATGACAGGAAATACTGGTGAATTCTCGATGATGTGCAAAAATTTCTTCAGTTTCAAATCTGACTGTTACATAGGACATATATCAATATAAAATCAGAACCTGAAGCGAAATAGAATTTGCAAACTCCTAATAATACAAGGATTATCCTTTTAAAAGGATGAACTATACAGAAATACCAACGTAAAGATTGTCTATTGAAACAACTTGAGAATTCCTTGGATATGCATATAATCACAAAAAAGAAAAGGAAGATTGATAAGGATTTACCTTGTAAAACTCCATCAGCTCATCAGCTCTGAAGTTCTTCACCTAAATTAGAAAGAAATAGAAAATCATCAAACTAATTTTAGCCCAGAGGATTTAGCAAGTCATCAATGATTAAAACCATACAAATGATAAGAAAGAGAAATGGAATGGCAGGAAATCAACAGCAGAAAGAATTTTGTGATGGTAACACAGTATTAACAGGTTTCTTACATAAATTTACCTGTTTAAGAGGCACAAAATTTATTTCAGAAGGTGGCAATGCCTGAAATAGGAAAAAAGCTTAAAGTTACAAGCTATTAGTGTGATCTGCAAGAAATCGGTAATTGCATGAAAGGCAATAAGCATCAGATGTGATCTACTGAACCCTCAAAGATTACACAAGATATCCCAACAAATCACCATGAAAAAACTCAAGTGGTTTAACTTTTTTCTTGAAACCACTTGAAAGAAAACAAGAGGGAAGCATAGGAGCAAAAAAATTTCACGTGCAGAATATAATTCCCACTACCCTATCCTATCAATTCCAAACTGGGAAAAGAGCACCCTAAAGAGTAACACAAGGGACACTTAAAAATGTTTGATTTAAGAATCCAGTATTTGTTTGATGTGGGAAGCAGGACAAATCCAGAAAACAATTGAAAAAGGGAAGAAGATTCTACTTCCTGCAGATGCTGCCTTAGGGTCAAATAAATGGCATATCCAACATATCAAACTCAGGACACAGCATCAGTTTTTTCTTAAAATAAAAAACTAAATGATCAATATAGATTCTAGAGCAAATTTTTTTTGCATTTTTCTTTAATCACCAACCTTGAAATAATGCATGAAAAATATTCTAGGCAGATTCTTTGAGTAAAATGAGTACTAGAGAAGCCCACCTCATATGTGAATGGTCCTTCTAACTTGTCCAAGTCATGAGTCCCAA